TAGCATATACAATTTTTTTAAGAGAAAATCTTACTTATTCTCAAAATTCAGCTTTTTGCAATTTTATAATAATAATTTATATTAAAAGTCGTGTCAATTTAAAGATATCGTAACAGTTGGTACCTCCTATACTTTTAAAGTCCCGCGGATGAAGTTACCAACTAATGTTTTTAAACTGTAATTTATAAGAAGATATACAATTTATGGAATAATTATATTTGAAAGTTTGATTGAGGATTTTCTCTATTATAATACAAATTATTGAATAATCTCTGATCGTAAAATAAGAAAATACTATGTAAAAAGAAATATGGGTTAAAGGGTTAAAAGAAAAAACGCATTTTACATAAGTATCAACAGTGAGTCACACACTACAAACAATCCTAGTCTATTTTTAAAGCGTGCATTTAATTTCTTCGTTGTATAGAAATTAATTACTTTAACACATAGTAGCTCTTATTTAAATAGCTTTATGAAGAGATGATTAGGTCTAATTAGTTAATGTAAGTTCGATGACCTGGTGGAGATTGGGGACTAAAAATTCCACTTCTCGCACTAGTGTAAGTTTTCCGACTCTTAGGGGCTTGTTAATCCCGCGACAGGATAATGTAGGATAGTTCGCGTGAGGGTGTGGAGGAGGAGAGAGAGATGGCAAGTATCTAACAAAACTCCGTTTATTTTAGCATAAAAATAAACACTAAGCTTACACTAAGAAAGATTCGTGCCTTGTTTGTTGAGTGTTTTCACTCGTTTCTATTGACTCGCAGAGTTCGTCTTGTCGTGTGCCTCGAATCCTTGAAGATCGGGAATTACAACGATCTCCGTTCTACCCTTTTTGTTCATCCTGATTGGCTCCACGTTTGTCCCTAAGCGAAAGACGAGACCTGTTCGCCTCCCAAGAAGGTTCGCATCGGAAAATTTACCCGACACTATCCGTTAACTTTCGATGGAAGGTGTAAATGGGACTTTGAACTTGCGCTGGTTTTAATCCATTGTAGTCTATAACGTCTTAGAATTTTATCGACCTGATGCAATATTTCCTTTCATAATTAATCTTTCCCACTTCGAGATTTTCTATGTTCCAATTATTTGTATACGAGCGCCTTGTCAAAGGTCCATCTCTACTGAAGGACGCCCGTTTACTTTCATTTCGTCAGGTCTTACAATAATAGTACTTCTCTTTCTCGTCTCGATTTCATATGACTAGCACAACTGAATCCGACCTTTGATCGGTTTTCACTAATGGAGGTTTTTTACCTCTAGGTTTGTTTAATAAATTTTTAATAGAAACGTTTAATTTAAATTCGTTTTTTGAAACTTCACAATAATAATTTTTGCGCTGTATACATTCTGAACAAACCCACATTATTTAGGTATTTCATACACTTACTACACTAATTTTATTGACCCGATTGATTTACAATAACCTTGACCCTCGTTATATGCGATTTTCTATCAATGTCGATTCTATTCTATTCTATTCTATTCTAATAAAAGACAAGAGGAGCTATCTGCGATTTAGTGCAGACTTTACCCCTGTATGAATAGGAAGGAAGAGTAAAAGAAAGTAAGAGTTAGAGAAAAGAGGAAATAAAAGAAGATAGGAAAGTGTGAAATAAGCAACCATAAGGCCCCCACAGGACCCCATGGGCGCCCGCATCGCCTTTATTGAAACAATATTTACAGAGGAATACAAATAATTAACAGTAACATTTTTACATACAGATGCAATTAACAGAAGGATGCATATCTTTTGCATCAAAGTATATACAAACATATTAATGGATAAATAAATAATAATTAAACACGATGGAAAAATACAGTTTTGGTTACATTATTAAACAGTAAATTTTTGCTTACATAATAAGAATTCGAATGGTTGGTTGAATAATTTTATACATACAGTTGACCCCCTATAACGTACGTTCCTATAACGACAATTCCTATAACGTAGCGAAAAAATTGTAGAAACTTTCGTATAACGTACCTCCTATAANAGAAAATATACAATTTATGGAATAATTATATTTGAAAGTTTGACTGAAGTTTTTCTCTATTATAATACAAATTATTTAATAAAATCTGATCGTAAAATAATAAGATAACGTGCAAAGAAAAATACAAGTTATACAAAGTTAATTTAATACATAGTGGCTCTCATTCAAATAGGTTTATGACTAGGTGATTAGGCTTAATTACTTAATGTAAGTTTGCTGACCTGGTAAAGATTCGGGACATAAAATTCCATTTTTCGCACTAGAGTAAGTTTTTTGACTTTTAGGGGATCGTTAATCCCGCGTCAGGATGATGTGGGGTAGTTCGCGTGTGGAGGAGGAGACAGAGATGACAAGTATCTAACAAAAATCCGTTTATTTTAGCATAAAAATAAAAACTAAGCTTAAACTAAGAAACATTCGTTCCCAGTGTGTTGAGATAGCGCTTTCTATTTTCATTCGTTTCTATTGACTCGCAGAGTTCGTCTTGTCGTGTGCCCCATGCCCTTGAAGAGCGGGGATTACAACGATCTCCGTTAAACCCTTTTTGTCTATCCTGATTGGCTCCAGAGGGACAGACGCTTAGATCTCGTCTGTCCCTAAGCGAAAGACGAGATCTGTTCGGATCCCGAGAAGGTACGCATCGGGAAATTTACCCGACACTATCTGTTAACTTTCGATGGAAGGTGTAAATGGGACTTTGAACTTGCGCTTATTTTAATCCATTGTATTCTATGACGTCTTAGAATTTTATCGACCTGACGCGATGTTTTCTTTCATAGTTAACATTTACCCTCTTCGAGATTTTCTATGTTATAATTATTTGTATACGAGCGCCTTGTCAAAGGTCCATCTCTACTGCAGGACGCCCGTTTAAATTTATTTCGTCAGGTCTTACATTAATAGTAGACCTACATTTTTTCTCGTATCGATTTAATATGATTAGCACATCTGAATCCGATCTTTGATCGGTTTTTATCAATGGAGGTTTTTACCCTCTAGGTTTGTTTAATAAATTTTTAATAGAAAGGTTTAATTTCAATTTGTTTTAGAAACCTCACAATAATAATTTTTGCGCCGTATACATTTTAAACTAACCCACATTCTTTAGGAATTTCATACACTTACTACACTAATTTTATTAACCCGTTTGATTTACAATAACCTTGACCCTCGATATATGCGGTTTCGATCAATGTCGATTCGGATAATGCGCATCGTTTTCAGGTAAGTAGTAGGTTGAACGTTATCATTTCGACACGGTAATTAGGAGAAGGTGGTGCAAGATGGAGCCATGGGTAAGACGGGGACGTCTGTTTATTTGTGGTTAACGTACTTTTATCTAGCTCAGTGTTTCTCAACCTTTAACGAATCGTCGCCCACTTCAACATAGCATCGCCCTGAGGCATCGCCCCCTTCAGTAAAACCGTTACGTAGTATCGCCCCCTTCACTTCAAAATTCTGATGCCGAGGGCCAAGGCTAACGCCAAATTCGTACTGCATTGAATAGACTAGTGACTAGTCTAATGTTATTTGTTTAATGATTGTACGATATAACGAATAAAATATCTAATTATTCTTAATATAATGTTTTACTATATCGCCCAGAAAATTGTTTTTCGCCCTCAAAATATAAATTGTTACTTATCGCCCCCTCAACATAGAAAAACGCCCACATGGGGGCGATATCGCCCCCGTTGAGAAACACTGATCTAGCTGTTCTTTGGGGAACTAATTGTCTACCTCGAAAGGGATCATGGAGCGAGATGACGTCCAAATCGCTCTCTTTATTTGCAAGTAAGATAAGTTTTTCATGTTTCAGCAATACTTCATCAAATTTTACACCTGCAAAAAAGTTTTTATAAAGTATTTCATTCCGGGATATCCTGCGCTATCTGTTTACCTTTTACTTTTTACTTTTTATTTATTTATTTATATTTTTTGCTTGTACGATTTATTCGTATTCATATACACCTCCAATATCCTATTTTAAACAGGTGGCTGCACTAGCATGAAATTTTTGATTGATTATTCTGAGACAAAACTGAATTTTAGTCTTTTAAATTGAGATAGCTAAATAAGGAGGAGGCGAAATTTACCTTTGCCCGAAGCGTCTGACACCCACGCTACGTCACTGCCTTTCCCTGTAAACCAATAACCTCTGTTTACTCATTTTTAACGTTGGTTACGAGTGAATATGAAACTTAGTGTTTTCGCGCAGTAATCTTGTTTAGTATGTTTATATTCATATTTAGTGTTGTTTCTGTGTTAATGCTTTAACTTTAACTGATAACTGTAGAGGCAGCGACAATGAGGGTCACGCCAAATAAATATTTTACGACGTTTATAAAATTTTCTTTTCTGTTGTTGAAATATACCGGTCTTTATGTGTAAAGAATAAGGAAAAGTATTGGAATCCTCTCAAATTTGATCTGCCGTGTTTTTTGTAAATCTTTACGTTTTGAGACCGGCTGAACCCAAAAATATATTATATGAAATTGATAATACAAAAGTTACTGATTGCTAATGGTTAATACAGACAGATAAGTGGTCACGTCTTATACATTGAGATAGATCGGACTTAATAATTTAACACGTTATTAGCATTTAAGATCTTTTATGAAACTTATCACTTTCCTCAAATTCACGCGTTTTGCTACTTTATAATAATTAACAATATAAAACGCTTTTAAAATAAAATCTTATAACGACAGGAAAAGTTATGCACTTTCTTGCAGTTGTTAGTGGAAACACCATTTGTTAATCTTTAACGTAATTTAAATGTACAAATTACGGTTTCAGACACGTATAAAAAATCATTTATTTCCGGTTTATTTTTAGAATTTACATTTGCGATTTCGCGTTATGCGCTATTTTTGTGATTAAAAATTAACCGAAGGTTCTCTGTACTGTGAGTCTCCACGGAATAATGTAATTTTTTATGTTTCTATTTATTTTCTTCAAACATGATATACATAAAGATAACTGTAATTAATTTTATTGCAGTGATTGATTCTTTTGGAAAATTACCGGCAGGAATGTTAGGAATGACACAGTGGATGTCAGGAGATTATGACCAGTGTTTGGACATAGAAATTCCTCAAGATAAAAAACAGATTACCGATAAAGAAAAGGAACAGATTCGAGGCAAATACTGTGCCCTGACAATTGGAATGCAAGAATCACTGAAACATATTGCAAAGTCGATTCATAAGTTGGAAAATAATTCATTGATTAAACTTGCAAAAGAGATTATTGTAAGTATTAAAGTTTAAAGAAAAAATTTGCGATGGATTAATAAAGTTCATTGTAATTTGTCAGTTAAATTTATTTATACAACGAATTAATTAATTTTTCTAGAAACCAATAAAGCTTGAAGACTTATTTAATATAGACGTTGCCAAAATGAAAATGGGAATACGTTTGGATGTGTGCATTCCGAGTACATGCATTGATAAGGACTTAAGAAACATTGGGAATTGGAGTAAGTCGTTTGATATTTTGTAATTATATGAAATTCTCTTGTAAATCCGAACACGTCTTAATCAACTATTCGTAGGAACTTAATTCATTTTATTACATTCAGCCAAAACAACGCAAGATCACTCTAATGAAGCATAATAACTTTGTAAAATAATACAGTACTTATAAACAGTATGTATTTTAACGTCGATATAAATATGTACAGTAGAGCCTCGATTATCCGACCCCCGATTAACCGTCACCTCGGTTAACCGACCGTCCTAGTCGGCAAATTTCAAGTGTCCGCTAGTGATGTGGCGCTACAATATTTGGCTATGTCTTGGCTACTTTAATATTATTTTACGTGTTTTAGCTGGCAACACTCATTCGACCATGAAAGGGAGCCAGTATTTAAACGAGGCTTAATTTTCTAATTTTTAACGATACAATAGCGACGATTATTATTTTAAAAAATTTTTGTTAGGCTTAACATCGATGAAAATTCAACGCAAAATAGGTTAATAGCGATATACTAATATACTAATTACATGAGATATAATAATATACTACACTAATAACGGATTTTTCATACTTTTCGGTTATCCGACTTTTCAATTATCCGACCAACCCCAGTCCCCAATTGGGTCCGATAATCGAGGCTCTACTGTAATTCAGTGTAAACAATTTTTTAATTTACTACTCAGTAATTTGTAAACTCTTTACCATAAATAGTTCGAATTAGCAAGAGTTAATTGTATAATATAGAAAAAAGAGATTATTTTTATGCTATTTTTTATAAGGAAATAGTAACCGTAATGCCTAGAGTGCCCATCAATGGCAGATTTTGTTAATAACTCGTAAAGAATATTTCAGATACGAATAAAAAAAAGAGTTCTAATTGAAATTCCTCCCACTGCAGGGAGGAACCATATTGGAAGATCGACTTGTTTTACTTAAAATACTTGTCCCTCTCTTAATTAAATTTGATTTCAGAATAATTCAAACTTAATCCTTCAGACAGCCAACAGAGGAGAGAAATACACTTGAACGTCATTTTGTCTGATAAATTAAAAATAAAACAAGCGGTAAATTAAACCGTTATTTTTATAAATTAATTCTTCAACTGTTTAATTACGTTCTTTATTATATTTTCAGTATTCGGGACAGCGGTAGACTTTAATGTTGAATTTTGCAAAATCAAAGATGAACGCATTAAATATAGTAACAGACAATTGATATCGTTGTAAGTATATTTTTATTATACTAATTATATTAAGATTTCTATTGTTACTTTATTTCCATTGTGGAAGATGTAATCCTGTCTCTCTTCCCCGTGGGGAAGAATTTTGAAAAATCCCTTCTTAGTGAGAGTTCTCGTGACGTACCCTGACTGTGTACCAAATTTAAATTTTCAATTCCTAACCGTTTGGTGTTTGCGCTTATTATTATTATTATCAACCAATCTCGATTATATATATATAGATTAAGAGAATCGTCAATTTGCTGAATTTTTTTGCAAATTGACGATGCAATATAAAGTATAAATAAATCGTAAATTTTTCGTCAAAAATGCAATAATAAATTAATTAAAAACCATTTTAACCAATAATCTTACGAGAAAAACAAGTTTAAAAAAGAAATTGAGAGTCAAATCTATTCCATTCTGAAGCACATTACACGATATTAAAGAGAAATTTATTTTCTATTTGAATGCGCATCGTTTGTCTTGATTTCTGTGTTTTAAATACTCTGTTTTAAATCATCATGAAGTGCTTCTGCTTCTTCTTTTTTCCTTATTTCAAGAATTATTGAACAGAATCGTGTAATGTGTTTTGCCTTTTACTACAACCCATTTTTTCTTTTTGGTTTGCCTTTTTCTTTTTTTTTTTCTCTATCATTCAGTCAAACGATACATTTATTTGACCTGAATGTCTTAATTGATGTTCTATCGTGTTGGTTTTTCGTTTATCTATAGTGTTAAAAATGAATTTGGTTTCTTTTGTTCTCTACTAAACCTGGTCAATGGACAATTATTTACTTTAAAATTCTTTCCACATTCTTTTTCAGCACATTGTAACAGCGTGCAGTTTTGTTTTATTTTTTCCCTTCTTTTAAAGAAAAATTTTATTTAATCTTTACTTTGAATGGTTCAAAAACATAGATTTTCCGAATTATACAAGGCAAGTTCGCAAACATTTAACGTGATCTTATTTTTACATTCACATTGATGTTCTGCATATTAGCATTTCTTTCCTTTTCTATAACGCCTTCTTCCACTGTGTAATTCTCGACTTCACACATCTTTTAAAGCTTCTGTCAGATATTCGTCCACACTGTTTAATTGTCTATCCTGTAGTGTTAGTCTGTTCTTTCAATTGTATCTCCTTTCACTCCACTTGACGCTACGTGGTACGATACCGTAAAATATATTTACAAAACCTCACGAAACATCTGTCGCATTAAATTCTATACATGACATGATTTAAAAAATTACAGTAATTTCTGCAAGAGCAGCGTACTAATCTATTCGTTATTTAGGGAAATTCTTTCGTGAAATTAAAGGATTCTACTTCTTTATTTCGCATAAGGTATTGTATTTCCTGCGAAGTCGAAGATTGAAGATAAAATCTCTTCAATGGCATATTTGAGACTTTTCTCGTTGGTGTAATTTGGTTCACTGATGTGAGAACCTAGTGGGGGGTATGACTACGTCGTCCCTCCGTGGATCGGCTTTCAAATCGGCGAGACTTGCTCACTTGTCAGAGATGGCTTAAATTTTTAGATTATCCCGAGGGAACGGGACTAATTTATTTCGGTCTGGTCGAGTGTAGGAGGAAGGAGTGCCGTCGGTAAGGTGACAGGCAATATACGAGTAAAAGAGGACACCAATTTGACAAGGAAACAACGATTTATTAGCTATCTATATAGACGGTACACGAACTATTATTGAGGGGAAATTCTGAGTCCCTAAACGCGAAGGGCCGAGAGAGTTTACAAAAATCTGTTCCATACCTCTTTCTGTATTTATATTTTCTTGAGGAAAAAGATACTGATATCCAACTGGTCCAGAAATGGTACACAATATTGGAAGAACACGATATTGAAGGACACAATATATGGATAAAACACAACATTAAAGCAGTTGCGGGACACTAGGCGGTTGATGAACGACTCCACCGAGAGGGAGAAGCAAGTGGCTTTTATAGTTTCGTCGTGGAAGATTGGTCACGTCATTACTTGTTGCGAGGTAAAAGGTACGCCGATGGGTCATAGTTGTCCCCGGGACCATGCTAACTTTCAACTTTGCAGTTGGAATGTGGGGTTATTTTCGAAGTGGAAGGATGTTTACTTTGAACGAAAGTAGAATTGTTTTCTATTTTTTTAAGTTAGGTTTTAGCATAGGATTTAAAGAAAAAATTAATTGGGGGTTTAGGAAAATACGGAATGTTAATCGGGAAATTCGGTAAGAAAATCCGGATTACGCATTGATTTTTCCACTAGAACACTCGTGTGATATTAATCCGCAAATAGTTGCAAAGTGTTTCTGTAATAGTGATACTAATGTGTAGGTTTGTGAAATCTCTCTGCTAAATTCTGTCAAGGAGCGTAAAAGTCGCAAATCGCAAAGTTCGTACCAATTTGTTAGAAACGCAGATTCTTGTTGAAATTAAAACAGAGTTTTAAAATAATTGTTGCAATGCAGTTTTGATCGCATTACAGCTGTTCTAATATTGCGATAATAGATTTTATTGTATTATTTAATGTTAATACATCTCTGGCTGTTTTTGATTTGCTGAAATAATTGATCTTATTGTCAAATTCTGCGCAACACCGAATCTTCTATTTAGTTTTATATGAATGTTTACAGAATTTTTACATATACACAACATATTTAAAAAAAGTAAATAAACTACTTTAAAATAATCTGAAGTATAGAAATGTTAATTTAAAATACGTGTGGACACTTCACCTATTTCAAAATAATAATAATATTAGTTTTAAATTAATTAAAACTAAAGAGAATATATTTAGTAATAAAAACGAATAATGTAAATTTATCAATATAAACAAAATCTGTAATAAAATAAAATATGGAAATAAATCAAAAGTTATATCCACGACACTTCCGAATAGTTTTAAATGTTATTCGAATGTCTTCGAAGTATACTTTTTTGTTATGCTTTTTCGATTAAGTTAAGGCAACACACGAGAATACTTCTCCTCGACTGACAATATAATATTGCTTGAAAATTACCTAGAAAACACGTTTAGAAATAAACATTTAGTAACACATTAATTGTGTGAGTACTATGGTGTAGAAATGGCAAACTGGTATTAAATTAATGTTGTTTGTTATTGACTGTCCAAAATGACTAAATACAAACAATAATCAGTATGTGCGTGTATTCGTAGACGCTGAGACCGTTGGAGCTAGAATGAGACAACCCGTTTATTACACGTACACAGAGATTGGAGTCTAACAAATTTTTGATAAGTCTTCCAGGTTTACAGTTAACTTAGAAAAGTACAGTCCTCTTTAATCTTAATTGTCTCACTTTTGATGTTCAATGCGGGCCACATCCAGAGATCGAGGAGTAACTTGATTACGACAGGAAAGTTGTATCCTTGCTTGTCCAATGGCATGAGTAACATCGGGCATGTGGGTCTCGAGCCGAACAGAAAGCGAGTTTTCCTCCGCTCTTCGATGTATAGCGGATGATGACATTTTGTATCCTAAGATTCACCATTGTCTAGAATATAAGTTTATCGAGAAAATCTGAGTATAGCGTTTCTCGACATGAGAGATTGATTGGAATATTCCAAGAGGAAAGACGCGACAAGTACGGAATAATCTGTTGAAAGAGTTATATAATATTTATATTCTTACATCCAAACAGATATAATTACAATAATATTTACTTAATTGATTGTTAAATGATATAAATTATATTTAAGTAAATTGATGTGAAAATAAAATATTAATTGCCTTAATTTAGAATTGTTCTCGGCATATTTATTGCATGGGTAGGATTGGCAACGTTAACAGAAATATTAATGAGACTTCATATTATTCCTTTGAAGACCAGTAAAAGTAAGTCTTTAAGATTATCAAAACATACTTTTAACATATTGAACAATGAGAATTTATTTATTATTATTTTAAAGTTAAGGAAAATGATCTCGAATGTTCTTATTTTCGAATATATTCTGAACACTTCAAAAAATTAATTTAAAAATAAATATAGACTACTTTTTCAGTTAATTGTACCTAAATAATAATTTATTAAAGTTTATTATTTTTAGGTAAATTTTTTGAGTATATTCTCGGAGCTTCACCTTATAAATCTCTACATAATTTATATTCGACGAATCTTGACGAAAGTACAAAGTCGATGTGCGGTGTAAAATTTCTTCTAGTAAATATTGTGGTGTTGGGACATGTATGCGTATTAGCATTGTTTTTCCCCACATTAGGAGGTATTGTTTCTTTTAATGTAAGATTAAATATTTAATAATTATAAATATTTATTCCACAGTGTTTGCTAAAGGCTTGCCACCGTAACAACATTTTAATTGTTTTATTGTTCTATAGTTGTGTGTATTTTTATTTTTATTATTTTTTCTGTTCTTTTTTATTTTATATATGTTTGTATCTTTTTTTTTGACCCTTGAAAAAGGCCAATGGTCATAGGGTCGTTTGGTTAAATCAATCAATTCAGTATCGATATATATTATAAAGGTAAGTGTACAATGTGCGTGCTTCTAAAACTCAAAAACGAGTCCCGGTACGATCAAGGAAGTTATATGGTGTAGTAGCCCTCTATCCTCGTCCATGAAGAAGTTTCCCGTTTTTACCCGAAGGGTATGCTGTTGAAGATATAAGGTCTGGAAGTTTCGCCCTCTGGAAATTTCTAGAACAGTCCAGAACATTCGAGAGTATTCGAGAGCGTTCCTCAACATGCCACAATGTTCTGGGGTGTTCTGGAACAATCGGGAACATACCGAAACATCCCCAGATCATCGTAAAATATTTTAGAACACTCTCAAATGTTGTGAAATTTTCTGGAACATTGTGGATCATTCGAAGACTTTTTTCTATGGGTGGGAATACCCATTGGTGGGGTATGTAAAGCAAGATCCGTCGTGGGTTCGAACGTCAGTTTCTTATCAGTGACGAAGGCAAAAACCGAATAAGAAGTGAAAATTGCAAAGTAGTGCCGCGAGTGAATAAAAACAAACAGTGAAGTGTGAGTAGTCGAAGCGATACAGTGACTGAATATAAATCGAAAATAAAGTGTGAAAATTGTGTAAAGTGTACTTAGTGTACTTGTTAGTGAAATGTAAGTTAATTTATATTTTATACAATGCCCAAACTTAAAAGCGGAAAAGCTCTTGCCAGTTCTGAATTTTCTTTTGAATATTAGAGTTGATATCGTCCACAATATTGCCAAAATGGCCTTTTGAAATAGCCAATCCGGATTGGTATAGTTGTGAACAAGGTTTGGATAAATTTGTTCGATGAGTTCGTTTTTATTGCGAAGATTAAAAAATGCTAATGAAAACAGCTGGGAAGAGATTGTATTTAAAAATTATNCCAACAAGGTGAATATCATTTGGATTTTTAAATGTTTCAAGATTTACTCTTATACCTTTCTTGTTAATTTGAATTTTGATTATTGTTTGGAAGACTTTTTGACTTAAAACATTGATTTTCATATCAATTCAAAAATTATATCTTTTTCGTAACTTAGTGGTTCGATCTATTAATAAATTATATTTAAATTATTTACTATTTTAATAGGAAAAACGTATTTTCGAAATAGAAGTGAGTTTTCTAAATGATTAACGAGTAAAAGTTTTATTCAGTTTATCTGACCGCACTCGAGAGATGACTCTTCAAATCTGTATATTTTTCACGCTTTTACACTCCACGGAAAAGTTAAATTGAGAAAATTCTCAAATTAACATATCTGTATCACGCTTACAAAAACAATTTCGTAAAAGTGTTGGAGGTATAAAAAACCAATTGACAAATTACTAACGCTAATGCATTATATGCTTTCCGGAAAATTACCTTGACAGGGAGGTGAAAACAATCGAATTCGATGTTCGACATCGTTGTATAGATTATACGCGGTAAACGTCAGTTGTACTTTTCGTATGACATTGTAGAATCTGCTATTAAATGCAGTGAAGTATTTCTTTAAAGTATTAAGCTACGATGAGTACGGTGGTAAGAATTTGTAATTTATGGAATTCTTTGTCAAGTATCAAGTAACAATGTCAGAGTGATGAAATTTTACGTTAACTGTTATTTAAAATAATCATGGTAATACGTTCTCCTTGTCGTAACAATACAATCAATCAATCAATCATTGCTTTATTAGTACAAATTTGTACATTCCTGGTCCCGCTTTTATAGCATTACCAGGTGAAATTATATACAGTGTACAATTACAATTATTTCAATTATTACAATTAATTGAGTATATTAAGAAGTATGATAATTAAAGTTATACAAAATAAATAATTCGTTTTGAAATATTTAGAATAGAATAATTTAACGACAAGTAAATGAACAAAGTTATACTAATAACTACTTAACAAAAATTATTATTACTAAATATAATCGAGTTTATATGAAAATAAACTCACAATTGTTACACTGAAAGTTTGTGCACAAAAATTGAACTTAAGTGTAACGATAAAGTGAAGGTTTTAGAGGCACAAATTCTCTGAATATCTTTTCAGTCTATCACTGCATATATGACCACCAGCAGACAACATAAGTCTTCGCACAGTTTATTTCCACTAGATGAAGAAAATAATAGTATGTATCTAGTAGTTGAAATTCATCAATCATGTTCTTCATAAATGTTAAACAATGGGTACACACGTTATTCAAACTTCAGGTTTTGCAGTAGTATGATCAGAGTGTTTGATACCAAATAATATGCTTATGTACAAATGAACTATATATAGTAATATAATATACAAGATATATATACAGTGTAGGCCATTCAATCATAGCTAAATGTGGTAATACAGTATTAAAATAATTATAGGTTTTCACAAATTAAATAATTTAGGTATAATAGATATACCTTTACTATTTGTAAATATATATATATATATATACAATATACTATAAACTAAACCATATACACTAATGTTAATTAGATTAGAGTTGTGTAAAGATTTTGTACACAAACANATTAAATAATTTAGGTATAATAGATATACCTTTACTATTTGTAAATATATATATATATATATACAATATACTATAAACTAAACCATATACACTAATGTTAATTAGATTAGAGTTGTGTAAAGATTTTGTACACAAACAAATACGTCTAGGTATAATAAATATACCGTTACAGTTGGTAATGACAATCAAATTATCATAAAACTATTTTAGAAATCAAAGCATAATTATTATAAATGGCAATTTTACATTTAGTAACAAATAATTACGAAAGAAACTAACATAACAGTAATTGAATATAGTAGCATTAATAAAGGTAAATTAATTATATATGGTTTGACGCGTAATGTAATTTATACGTTTAGCAAGCCTGAGAAAACCGTCATATACCTCTCGGCTAGTCAAGATGTAAATAAGTCGGCATGGCCAATTTATCCCTAATTTTTCTTGTAGTAGCTTTATTTCTAATCTTTCTTGCTCAAAAACCACACAATCACAAAAATAGTGCCTTGATCCGTCTTTAACAAGACATGTAGGACGTTGGTTAGAGACATCGTAACAATACTGTACTCACTCAGAAAGGATAGAAATTATTTCGAGTTGTACGAGGCTTTCACGGCCTTATGTTTCCCAATTCCGGTAAAAACCAGAATTGCTACGAGACATATTCCTGAAAGTATTCGATAGACCGACAAATGCAGGAGGAATAGAAAGTATTCGATATAAGGTACAAATGCGATGGTCGCATTTGCATCTTCCTAATACCCATGATGTCGGTGGGTTTGCACATTTATTCCTATTTTAACTAATGTATACAGTAATGTACAGAAATGCTGAATTTCGAATATGGGCTATTGGCCTATCGTAACACACACTCTCTTATTAAGTATTCTTGGTTGAACTTTTTCCATGCTTTTTCTGGTGTCGTTAGCAATCTTCATGCATCTGTAAATCGAAATTTTGTTTTCTATATTATATGCTTACAGTTTAGACTCCTCCAATTGTCGAAAAATATATTTATAAAAAGCACTTTTACTTATTTCTAACAAATGGTGATGGACATAATTAGATCTTTATTTTTATTCGTTAAAAGCATAATTTTATTCTTAGTAAAACTTCTTGTATAATTACTATTGTTTGATCGGAATCTTCAGATGATTAGGGCATAAAGCGCTATATTATAGTCTCACTCATTAATTGTTCTTCGAGTTGTATCTTCTTCTTTTATTTGACTTGGCAACTAAAAATATTTACAAAACTTCTCGAATCTCTGTCACACGAAACTTTACATATTTCGCAATAAAAAATATAATTGTTCGCTGGAGCGACATACTAATCTCTCAGTAATTAGGCGAAATCATTCTATGAAATTGTGAGATAAGCAGGTGGCCACTGGGATAATCCATAATGACCTCTTACCCTGCAACAGGTTGGTAAAAACCGATCTCGCGGTCGTAGGATGGCTTAGGAGGACAAATCGAGTGAGGAGGGAAGTGAGAAAGCTGGCAGGTGTCCTTTAGAGACAGGAGACAGGTTTATCAAAATAAGCAAGCATTTAATTGACTAACTAAACTGAGATACATAGGTTAAATGCAGTTACATAAGAAATAATGAAAAAAGCTCTAACGGCTATCCTGAGAGAGAGAGAGAGAGAGTTCATAAGCTCTAAAATACAAATACCTCTATGAGGATATGATTAATATGCGTTCGTTGAATGGGCCGTATGAATCGTGGTCGGCGCAGGAACTGTAGTTGGCGATAATTATGGAAGTTAGAAATTGTGGTCTGTCGTATGGCGATGTCCTTTCGGTCGCTATGTCTGGTGTATGGAGACAAGATGCACACGTTAATAAGTATAACTTCCTTTGGTCGCCCAGAGCTTCCGGGGCTCGAGCTTTTATACGTTCTTCGTGGGAAAGGAGTCACGTGATCGACTTCCGTTGACAGTAACGGTGCATTGCGATCAACTAAGTGTCAACTTTCCCACCTAAGTATGAAAACAATCGGTGACCTCCGATATTTTTCTCACCAAGAGTGTAATTTTTTCATCGGAGTTGTTTACAAAGTTTTTCCGACATTTGCGTAAAAATCGCGGATTTCACAAATTTGTGGGTATTGTTTTCTTTAATACTGCACAATGGGTTGTATTTCACGCCACGCCGTAAATTCATGCTTAAATCCTTCTTATCATATGGGCAATCTATTCGATGATTTTTGTCACGATTTTTTTTTCATTCATTCAATTTGTCAGTTGCTATTTTTTACCTCCAAATCTTCTGTGAAACCAATAGGCATATGTTCATTTCTGAAATCTTGTTTATTTATTCTGGTTTAGTCTTCGTTTATTTTTCATAAGTTTTGTATTTTTTGACTACTTTGGTGAATTAATATACAAAAAGTATACAATTTACATATATAAAAAATATACAAATTATATCATATGCAACATGTAAAGACAGTTTCATCAAGTAAACAATAAATAGCGCTGCAGTGTTTCTAAAGCGTGATATAGTATAGAACAGACAAAAATCAGTAATTCTACAAAATTACTATATTTTGAGAGAGAGTTATTTCTATCAAATTACAAAATTCGCACTGGTGAATCCACGAGTACACCTAGTTAATACACGTACAGTACATATTGTGAGAAGTCAGGAGCGTAGATTTTGCCTATACCGCTTTCTTGACACGCGATCGTAAGATTGCAAATATCAGCTGGTCATACTTAGACCTATCTAAGGAAGTCATCCATTTGACAAAGTGAGTCACACTTTGTCAGATGGATGACTTCCTTAGATAGGTCTAAGTATGACCAGTTGTTCTCGGGAACCCCTGATAGTTTCTTCTGACATCAGTTAATTAATTTAATCCGCGGATTAACACGCGTAAATAAGGAATTTCGAGCTGGAGGGACGTAAGTACGTGGTGTGAACATAGGCGTGGATTTTAGTCATTGAAGAGGCCATATTAAAATTAACAAACAAAACTTTTAATAAAACGAAAAAATAAAAAATAAATCGAGGTTACAAATATATTAGGCTCCCAAACACGCGAGAGAGAGAGAGAGAGAGAGATTACAATTCTCATAGGTTATGCTACTTCCACAGGTTCTTTGCTTCTACTCTTGAACAATGTCTTCCCATGGAAGGTCAAGTAAAGTTCGTGGTTATTTCTGAAAATTATTCTCTCTATCGGATTCTTTTCTTTTTCTTTAATTCTTCTCGGGAAACTGGACGGAGCTCAAATCTTACGGCGTTTCGCTGGGAGGAATAATGTCTGCTCTTCCAGGGTTTTGGGCGTTGGCCTTAGGAGATTAAATAGAATACGTCCTCTCACTTCGAGATATTTCTGCGCACTCTCCGAACAATGAAAAATAATCTTATTTTTCGCTGATCTTTTCTAATTAGAGTATAATATTTTCCCACGTGAACAAAATGAGTAAGAAAATTCAGAGAGGTTGACTCTCAGTATAATGACTAAATTTTTAAACATAAGGGAAAAAGAGAAAGGGTGTTCAACTTCCGTTGGTGAGGAAGTGCATTTTAACGGCTTCATTTTTTTTGTGAAAAATAAAGCTTTAACTTTAGAAATTAAAAAGTACTACTTTCGATATTATTATTTTGGTTAAAATGGATTTAAAATAGAGGAAAGTATTCGAATTTTCACAGTATTATATTTTAACTAGCAAGTGGGCCTGGCGTTGCTCGGGCAAAAGTAACGATAACTAAGATAAAGATTATTACGTTACAGTCAACCTTACCCGTTTTCACAGAATGAAAGAATTGGGTCCCCTTAAAGAATTTTTTGATGGGTCTAAAAATATGTTCGATTTCCCGCAAAAACGAAAGAAACTGCATATGCGTATCGCACGTCGCTTTCTCTTAACAATTCCATTGTTACGTAAGATTTCCATTGTTGACACTTCCATTGTTACTTAAAACTTCCATTGTTACGTAAGAGTTCCATTGTTGACACTTCCATTGTTACTTAAAACTTTTATTGTTACTTAAAACTTCTATTGTTACTTAACACTTCCATTGTTACTTAGCACTTCCATTGTTACCTAACACCGCCATTGTTACTTAACACTTCCATTGTTACTTAGCACTTCCATTGTTACCTAACACCGCCATTGTTACTTAACACTTCCATTGTTGATGGAAGTGTTAAGCTTAATCCTGTCCCTCTCCCCCAGGTGGGGACATTTCGAAAAATCGCTTCTTAGTGTGCGTTTTCGTGACGTACCCTAACTGTGTACCAAATTTCAGCTTTCAACTCCTAACCGTTTGGGCTCTGCACTTATTATTATTATTATCAACCCGTCTCGATTATATTATAGATTAATAAAACTGATATTTCATACATAACATTTTTTTATATTTATCCATTTTTAAAAGTATAACAATAATTATATTTTACAGATAAATATTCTAATATCTTCAAGCACGTGGATCTTCTTTTATTCGAAATTATTCTCCAAGGCGTCACTATGATAGAAGCATTTTTCTTCTACAGGTAAGGTCATTAAAATTTTAATGTTACACATAAATTCAATTTTCGAAGAATATTTACATTCGCTATCATAATAATAATATTAACACATAGATTTTTGGCAAAAATATTTTTGTGTTTAAAATTAATAAGGAATAATATTTTTTTGGCTAGCGGGTTTATGGTAATGTATCTGAGACAAAAAACTGGACGAAACTCTGCGAAATACTATATCATGTTTTTAGTCAAGCGAATTATCAGGTAAAATATTTAACTCTTACTGTCACTGCTTCGTGTGTTATATTTTGTTCGTGTTGCAGATATACACTTCCGATATTCTTCGTTTTGGGCTTCGCAATTCTTCTGCCTCTTCTTGGAGAAGGTCCTCATTGGCATAATATTATTATTCAGGAAAAACACATGGAAAATGAATGGTGGAAATATATCAGCCATATTCATATTTACGAAAACGATGGATCCATGGTAAATGCATAAAAGTTAAAAATCAGTTTTTGATTTAGGTTTCGGACATTATGTATTATTAAGTGAAATTATTAAAATTTGCATTCATTCAAGTTGTTTTGAACAAACCAATGTATTAGATTTATGCTATTTATCGTTAAGCCAGAAATGTTTTTAATTTATAATATCACCTTAGGAAATCTGAAGGGTTCGTCAACTTTTCTTCACTTTAAACTTTTATATAACTATGTTTTGTTTAACGTTAAGTAATATATTCAATTTTTAAAAGTTTCTTTATAAATAGAAACACCTCTTACAACATCATCTTAACAAATTAAATAATATTATAATTTTTCGATATTTCTAGTGTATTTCTAGTGGAGATTGCTGTTTATTTTGAAATTCCCGTGTCTTACAAGTTAATTACATGTTAATGAAATTCGCACTGTTTACACGTCATAGAAAACAAATCGAATAGTTATATTATGTAAAAAGAAAGCAGTACTATTGAACCATCAAGACCGATGGTTAGTTTAATGGCTAGATAGGGATTTGTTCGGAGCTATTCTCTCGTTATTGCTTTAATCAAAGGATTTATCGGTTTATTAATAATTATATTAAACTGTAATGTGCAGAAAAATAAATTACATGTAAAATCTATTTTCTCTCATTATTTTTTATAAGTAAACCTAAGAACGTTTAAATAAGAAATTTATTAACGGAAAATTTAAATGTATAGTGATAAAATTTAGTGACGACAGTAATAGGAAAAAATTGCTTTAATAAATGTGGTTTGTTATTTCTGCAAGTCTATAAATACACTTTGGATATTACTAGTATTTGCGTGTATGATATATTTATAAATAAATCAAATAAAATATTTGTAGTTTTATTAGTTTTTAATTCGTCTACTTTATAAAAATTTTTAGGAGTTTTTCAACGTATTATGGTTCCTCAGCGTGTTGCTGCAACTTTCCATCTTAATGTCACTGTTATTATATATTGTTGACAGGTAAGAATTTATTTCTTATTATTACGAAAATGTATTTATATTTTTGTAATATGATCCTCTGATATAATGCTAAATCGATTGGATAAGTGTTTCAACTAAAGTGTTATAACTATTTGGGAGTGTTTAATCTATATTGGGTGATCTCTATTGGTCCGTAATAAAAGGTCATATATGTCCGTGATAATAAGGTCGCCTAGGTTCCTGAATTGTATCTGTACAGACTTACAGAATGTATTTGTTTACTAAAATTAATAAAGTATAAAAAGTCCTGATAATAGACAAGTCATAGTTGACATTTTAAGTTTAAACAGTATTTGTTTACTATTTACAAACACGACAAACCGAAAATTATTCAAATGATAGAAATAACAGCTATAAAAATGTGAGACGGTGTCCAGAAACACCTACTTTAATTTTGACTATGTTACAGTCCATGGCGTGCCGTCTATGGAGCTGTGGAAGCACCGCTTACCTTGTATTTTCTAATATATAAATACATTTCTCGCGATTATTTTCATATTTTGAAGTATTTTCAATCGCTTAAAATTAATATTTTATTATAATTGCAGTATGCGTAATGCATTATATATAAAAACAATAAGATAGCTATTGTATATTCGAATGTAAATTCGTGTATGCATATTTCCAATGCACGCACCTTATTGTCGAATACGGTACAGTTTTCAAGATGAAAATATTTGAAAAGTGTAATCATGCTCGATGTTCCGAAGTTAAGCGATGTCTAGTGAAGCAGAGTTTTTTAACATTAATGCTTATGAAAGTCGGCCGGGACCACACAAAACTGACTACTTAATCGACGGTGCTGGTTATACTTATGACGCCTTATGCAGACTCGAATGTATTATTATTTAACGAATGCTTGATATTTTGAATTCCTTAGCTATGTATTGAATATTATTTTGCAGATGGCCCAGTTTTGGAAGACTCGCCATAATTGTATTAATGTTAACAGGGATTATCATGTATATAGTTGATGTAGTTTCAAACAGATATTACTTGATGCTTGGAATACCTGCAGCTTCTGAGTATAAACTTTTTANATTACTATTATATATATATACGTATATACACGAGTAATTATTTATTTTGACAGGGGTATAACTCTGGCTGTAATTTTAGTCATATTTTAAATGTTTTTAATGCATTTAATTTAAAGAATGTAATATTCAACGGATGCTTGTTATTTTGAATATCTCAGTCTAGTAGTGGTTGGCCCTCGTACATCGCACTTTCTCTTTAACAATAGATTTTCGCTCGTCATCTTTTTCACTCCTTTCGAGATAAAAGTTTTGAATTGAAATGACCTGACATTCGATTTGTATCGGAAGTTCTCATATACTTAATCGGAGCCTACTGCTTTTTCATATTGTAGTTAATAACTAAACCTTTTCGAAGTCGAAGATTAATGGGAAAAATTTCGACTTTGAATTAAAAATTCTCGAGTTAACGAATTTAATATCTAATTTTCTTAAATTATTTCGATTCGATAAATTTTCAGTTATCGAGTCTTTTCTGAACAATATGCATACAGGACGATTAATCTCTACTTTATCTATGTGGTCTACACTTATTTTGTCAATCGAATGAATCATATTATGTTTGGTGTTATCTGACGATACACTTTTCTTCCAAACTTCGAAGGTGAAGTCTTTGTAGCGTTTCGTAAGGTCAAGACGATTCTGTTTATGTGATTTGATAAGCTTAAACTCTTTAGTCTTAATAGTAGCTTTGAAAACCTCTGTTTGTAGTTGTAGTATGCATATCTACTCATATGTCATGTTTCAATTTTCTCATATTTGTAATGACAAGTCGCAATGTTTATTGTTATCAACCGTACACAGTATCTTTCTATTTGATACTCAATACCTTCTTTCTTCCAGGTCATAAATTTTGCTGATATGTTAAGTCACTATTTTTTAAGCTCAAACACCAAATTCTGAAGCTGATTTCTCAATAAATAATCTTTTTTAATTTTTTATGTTCACGGTCTAGTACAAATATACGACGTTTCGTGAATCAGTGAAAAACGAAAGGCGTTTAGTTATGCTTTCATTATGTTACGACATGTCATTGTCCCTGATTTGCTTAATATTTGGGTTATACAGTATTCTCTTCATTTAAATTAACAGATTTTATTGACTCGTTTAATAAAATGCTCTTATTTTGGCATTTTGAATTCGAATTCTTGTAATATTGGATTTATTTAATAATTTATGGAATTTTTCTTTTTAAATTTTATCCTTTAAAATTGAAATGATGAGTGAGGGCAAGCTAGATTCTCACTCATCCTGAAGCATGGCCGTATCCATAATAAATAAATCTTAATGAATAAATTGTGTGTGGCCTCCCATCTGTTACGAGATTTTGATATGAAAATAGCATTTATATTATTTATTATTATTACTTAAAATACAAAAAGCTTTAGTTTGAGAGTAGTAATGAGTTTTATGAAAAAAATGTTATAAATGATAATAACGAGTAAAACGTTCAATAAGTTGACTTCTTTCTATCTTCTCATTCTATCGATTTTTTTAAAACTATAAATATTTAAAAACATCATCTGCTTTATATACAAGTTACCATGGCAAATTTCGTTGCTTAATGTTTATTTTATCCTGAGATATTAATCGAAACAGTTGCCAATACACACGAATGCTTCCACAGAACATTTACAAGAACTTATTTTATTTGTTGGGTTTAGAATCAGAAACATAGCGTTTTAAAAACACACCCGTATGCTTAATTCCACACGATTCTAACACAGACTTGTCTTGTACAACAAGGAATTTCTACAATTTATTTTGCTTTTACACGATTTGAGAATTTGGAAAATCTTCCGTGAAAAATTACAACTTTTAAGCACAAACTTTGCTATTCCATATTTTTTTTTATTCGAGTAAGCGTGTACATTATCTGAAATTTGCCTACGAATTTTAGAAAATCCACATTTTGAATTTGTTATGTGCATTTTTTCGAGTTTCTTTAATGAAAATAATACGATTGTTTTCCTGCGTTGCTTTTTTATAACCACGGTTGTTGTCCTTTCTTTCAGATTTTAGCCTCTAAGTACGTCACTGTGTTTTCATTTTATGAATTATTCTGTTTGTATTTAGTAAACTTTATTTAAATATTATTCGGTAAGTGTCATTAAACTCTTTTTAATCCGTAGGTAAATAATCATTTGTAAAAATAACGAACAAAAAACAGTTTCCAACTCGAACAATTCGGCATTCCAACACAAATTCTTTAGAAAACATTTTTTTGGTACTCGACTAAACAAGCTGATAGGATGTCATTACTTTCTATAAAACGCCATGGTTTAGCTAAAAGCAATATTAATGCAATTTGGCTAATTTCAATTTTTGACTGATAGTTAAATATTGATTGAAAATAAGTTATTCATTCCTTTAATTTAAAAAAAAATTCTCTTACCATAAAAAAAATTGTATACAGTCGACCCCCCTATAATTACGGTCCCTATAGTTACGATTCCTATAAAACTACGAAAAAATTGCTACTGGTATCCGTAAAAAATAGTAAAAGTTCCCTATAAACACCTCAAACGTCATCGGGAAGCCGAACTACTTTCCCGCCGTCCGTAGCGCCACGCTACGGAGAGATTTCTATCGTCTGGACAGTATTATATAAATTATATATAAATTAGGTACTGTACATATAATTATATATTAATTATATATAAATTAGGTACTGTATATATAATTATATATTAACTTATTGTAACTTTGTTATAATTAAATATATAATTTCCGCCGTCTAGCGTGGCGCCACGCTACGGAGATTTTTACGCTAACTATCGTCTGTCAGTATGTAAATTAGGTACCGTAAGTCTAATACAGTACTGTAATTTTATACATTTCTTGTGAAAAAAACATTTCTTATTCAACGGCGATTAAAATTATTTATATTAATGATGTCTCCGAAGTTCTACGAAGTTTTTACAGAAAAATAAGTTGTTAGAAATCGGCCGCTCTTTGCTGAGCTGTTCCGCGACGAAAACAATGTTGAGCAATGGCAATGTCGAATGGTGACACTCGGTAAGTAATCCTACAATTTTTTGTTTATAGCGTAGTTTATACGGATTATTCCCAAAAAATATATACGTATTTTGGAAATGTTGAGTCGGATTAGTCTAGAATCGATTAATTTTATGGAAGAAAATCTTTCAAACAGCCGTAGTCACGTGTCGGGTTGTGATTGGAAGGATTCGTAAGAAAGCGGATTCCTAGAGAATGGAACGTATCTCTATCTTATAGGGGGGTCGACTGTACTCTTATTAGATTTTGAAGTCAGTCCTATATTTTGCACCTGTTCTTAGTTTCGTATAAAACGGATTCGCGTAACACGGCTTTCTGCCGGAACAAAACCACAGTATTATAAGAGGATTATTTGTACTTTACCTTGTTTTGTGTATATAACGTTTTTTCCACGTAATCAATTTCAACACTTACACACTTCTCATTACGTATAGTAAAATCTTACGAATAGAATTAATCATTGTTTAATAATTCATGGCATAGAAGAAAACAGAAAAATATTCAATAAATGTGAATCTAATATTTAATTAAGTGCAGGCTGCTAACGCGATACATTGCTTTTGACGAAAGTGTTACTCGTGATGTTAGTAAATATTAAAATTTTCAGTTCAGACATCCTCTCTTTAAATTTCGAATCATTTGTTTTCAATTCACAGAAAGTAATATTACCGTAACTAAAATTAAACTTTTTACGTAATCCGTTTATTAAGAATTTCCCATTTAAATTCTTAGATTACCCTTTTACTTTGTTGGACCGGATGCATCGTCTTAATGACATTATCAATTTTTGGAGCGCATAGTTTGAAGAAAAATATTTTGGCCAACGAAAATATAATCATCGCCTTTCAGTGCATTGCTCCATTCGCTTGGACCGTAGGATTTGCTTGGTTAACAGTGGCTTGTGTCACAGGTCACGGAGGTAAGCAATCTTATTATCTAGTGTTTACGATCGATTTTTTTTATTTAAATACAGTTAGTAATAAATACATTTACGACGCTTTTTCTATTTTTTGTTTAATCTACTGTAACTTGTAAGAAACTGAATTTTTAATATTATTAATTACATTTGTATACTTAGTTTAAAGCTTTAGCTGAAGTAAAATACAATTCTGTAAATCATACAATGTTTAGTAAATGAATACAATAACTGAATTAATTAAAGTTATTTATATAATTATTACTTTCAAACCGTAAAGTATATTTATATTACAGCCAATTTATATAATATTACATGAACAAATTCACATACTTTACGGATACAGTTTTCCCGGATATTTGTAGTTAATTAAAATTAATACTCTGAAAGTTGTACTTAGTTCAGTTAAATTTCCTGTTGTGACTAAAATAATTCGATTTTCCGAAATAATCCGTATTTCTTTAAAAGTTTTATTTATTTGTCACTCGAAAAAGATGAAATAATCAATTTACCGTAAACTGTGTTTTGTGTACATTTACGTTTTTATTAAAGTTGAATCGTCACGTTATAAAAATTTTAACTTTTTTTGTTTATTTTCAGGAACCCTCAATCGTTTGTTATCTCTTCGTATTTTTGTGGTGTTAAACAGTCTGTATATCTGGATATATCTGCTTCACGGTTTAATTATCTTTTACGTTGGTAGCAGTATGAGAAAGCCTACTGGTCTTTTACAGTTTAATATGGTAAAGTGAAAATTTTTATTTTACGGAATAGACTTGGTAATCTGACCTTTAATAATTCGCAAGTTGACCTATGCACTACCATTCCCGTCATAATTTTAGTCATTCTTAAGGCTAGAACATATAAACATAAAAATTTGAATAAGGGTAAAAAATAGGTACACACAGGCAAACAGTATATAAAAGTTAAAAATAGAAATATCATTAGACGCTAATACTGAAAGCAACAATTATTTGTTTTATCCATATTTATGCATAGAATTTTCGGCTTATTGCATAATTTTAAAAGTAACAAAACTAAACAAATAAATAGATAAAAGAATCTTTTTATATTTTATTACAAGTATTTCCAAATTGTTTATTCGACAGCCTAAAAGTAATTTTTCCAAATTATTTTGGCGCTGTTCGCCAACAAAAAGTTCAGCTTTCGCAATCGTTGCGGCCACCTTTACGAAAAATCACGAACGATGAAAAATGTGCTGCGCACGTTTTTTGAATCGGCTTTTACCCGCTTTCTGTTGGTGATGAGAAGTTCCCATTTCGGCCACCACATTATTTTGTAGAAATGATCACTTGTCTCTGCATTGCTGTTTAAATGAGAGAAACTGACTCTAAATACTGCACGGTGTGCTTGATTGCACCGATTCGACTTTAAAATATTTATATTCGGCTAATATTCTGCGAGTTCCTGATAAAATTTCTGCAATTTTACTTACTGTTAACCAATCGAAAATTTTTTTTTCTTATTCGCTGCAATTATGCCAGGATCTGTGTTAAAGACTGTTCTTAGTTTCATTCATAATATCACCAGTTATCAATAGCAGCAGATTTTTGCTTTCCAGTTCAAAATTCTGTTCCCGGTGATCCCATAATCAACCGTTGTTTTATCTGCATGAGCGCGGTGCGCTCATGCAGTTACAGCAACGCTGATGCTAACAATGCTAATGCTGAGCACGGTTTGCTCTATATAATACATTAAAATTGCCGAACGACGTTTATGGACGTCACTGCTGCTCTTAGTGTGTCTTCTCTGAGCAGGACAGGACACCATAAAACCCTACAGAACCTATAGTAGAAACCTATGTACAGTTAAACTCTATATATATATAACTTAAAACTTATATAATACAGAACCCTAATAACTATATTAAAACTACCTATATATATATATATATATAAACATGTTTGTTCCTATATTTCACTTTTCCGCCAAAACTACACATCGCACGTGAATGGTGTTTGTATGTGGTAGTAGCCCCACGTTTCCATTCGTGCACTATGGTGGTTGCCTGTCGATAGCTATAAGGATGCGGGAAATATGGGCTTGAAAGTGGTTGAAAGTGGCTTTCTATTTCGAATGTTTTGTTCGAATTTGTTCGAATATTGGTTCGATTATAGAACGATCGTAAACGTTCCAGAAACGTTGAAAATAGTTCGTTTGACTGGACGTGAACAGAAGACGTTCAGAAATAGAATCGGGACCAGGAAGTGTTAATATAAAGCGGCATGCAAGATTTACAGGCGGTTTTTTGCGCTTTTGCGGGAAATCGAACATATTTTTATGCTCATATAAAAATTTTCTGGAAACGTCTGGAAACGGGAGACCTAATTCTTGCATTTTGTGAAAACAGGTAAGATTGGCTATAATGTAATTATCTGAATCTTCACTATCGTTACTTTTTGCCACCAAATAAAAACCCAGCGAAGCGGGTCCTTGCAGCTAGTATATAAATAAAACCTATACATTTTATAACCAGTGTATCCAAAGCTACATATATAAAACCATATAAAAACCCTCAATATACACATGTTATAAACCCATATTAATCGTATATAAAACCTTGTATAACTATATGTACAAAATTATAACAATGCCTTATAAATCCATTTATATAGAAACCTTAAAATACCATACAATAAAGTATAGTAGAAGCAGCATAAAATTTTTGTGAACACCATCGTTACCGTAGTGTGCACTGAGTTGGTACAGACTTCATCAAATGCAACATTATTAAAACAGCCTATATTAAGTATACGTTTCAATTTCTCTACTTCATTGTAAAAAATACTACATTTTAACAGAAAGTTCTGGAGGGTGTAGCTGGCACCACACTCACAAAGGTCACTCGACCAATTCGAACGACTTAAGTGTATTCTTTAGTTTACAACTGGGTGCATAGTTAAACACTAAACTGAAGTTAGTTTTAAAGTCACCAAGATTACCCAATATTTGGGAAAAATAATAATTCAGTTCATCCAATTTAGTCTTCAACCTCTTATTAATATTTGGAAAAATCCATAATTTGTTTACCTATTGGTACACTTGTTTTACCTGTCAAGTCAGTATAAGCCCACTTTATATGACACCTCTGTTTTCATAGTCTTGGCAGAGGAACTAGTGACATCATGCAGCATCCCGCAATAGATAAAATATGTATTTTCTTATACGGGTAATTTAATAC